TAACTGCTGAGCCATCTCTCCAGCCCTGGAGGGTCTTTTATATTTATAAAAGAATAAATGTATCTGGAAGGTTTGATGCTGATGCTGATTAGGCTTTGAGGGGGATTCTGTGGCAATGGTAATTGGGAGGAAAAAGAGTACTTCAGAGTTCCCTGAAAGGGATGGATGTGCTGTGGGGGTTAAAGTGCAGAGAGGAATACATTAGGGATTCCTGCAGAGGGACAGTGGTTATGAATTTGTAGAGTTTAAAGTTTTAGTATGCAGGTGTCTTTGGGGCAAATGGAAATGTGGTGAAGATCAGAAATAAAAGCTAAATTTTCACCTAAAGGCAAAAGGTGAAAAGTGAAGTTATGGGGAGGTTGGAGGTGGCCAGTGGTAAGAAACAAAACAAACAAATGCCTTTATTTAGGCTTTTTCTTATCTGACCCATTGACATACTTAAGCAACAACTTAAGTATGGGGGGGAAAAAGCCCCACTTGACTGTTTATAGAATGAAAGGGAAAAAACATGGTGACCCAGGCTTACCTGGAACTTGCTGCTTAGCAGTTCTGCTTCAGCCTGTCTTGTGCCAGGGTCACAGGTGAGGGCATTATGCCCCACTGGGAAATCCTTGAGTGCCTTCTACTATGAACAGCACAGAAAGCTAATGATTGCTTGTTTTATTACAGAGCCGTTGCTAGTAGTAGTGTTAACAAGATAGTGTTTTAGTGCTAAGCTTTATTCTAAGTATTTATATCGCTCAGTATAAATCCATCTTAAATTCTAGGCCATGACAGCTACTGCTCCACAGTACTGAGAGCAGTTTTTTCCCAATGTGTAGTAATATAAAAACAACACTTTTAGGGGATACTGTTATGGTATGTATGTGAAAAACATGGTACATTTGACCAGGGACTTCCTTAAGACAATTGAAATACATTTGTGTCTCCTCTGCTGTGGTTTAAAATGCTTTCAACAGGTTGAAAGAATTTAGATAATTTGTTTTACTGAGCGATAAGGGGCTGACATTTAACAACCCCAGGTGCATGTGGTTTCTTAAAAAATGTCAAAAAGATCACGTGATTTTGGTGTACCAAGTCAGAAAAACAAGATCTTCTTGAATGTCTTAAATAAAATGGAGCATAAATAAAAATTTCCAGTATGAAAAGCCAGGAATTATTATAGAATACAATGATGAGTTTTTTTTGTTTAATTTTTTTTTTTTTTTTTGGCTTTTTTTCGACAGGGCT